ACTCCAGGTTGAGGGGAGCGATCAGCTTGTGCATATGGGCAGGTGTCGCCGTCCCGCACCGACGCAGCTGGTGCGGCCCCACTGCGGAGTCACTCTGGAGCCGCCTGCCGCCAGCCCCACGGACATGCAGCACCAGCGCGGCCCTGGGCTTGGCCGCAGGAGCTGTGCCCCCCGGCAGGTCACCAAACACATCACACGGGGCTGGGCGGGCGGAGAAGGGAGCTGCAAACAGGACCCAGCCCCTTTGGAAGGAAATGCAGGGTGCGTCCACACCGGGATCCTGCGCCCGCAGCCCAGGAGAGCTGGGGAAGGGCAGCGAGGATGAGGAGGGTGCGGAGGGGCTGCCCTAGCGGGAGACTAAGGGGGCCAGGCCGCTCAGTTGGGAAGAGAGAGGCTGGAGGGGGGACAGAAGGGTTTGCAACCTAGCGGTGAAGCGGGAGGCCCGGGGGGTCTGTTTGCTGTCTCTTGCACTACAAGGACGAGGTGGCACCGCGTGCATGGAGCAGGTTGTAAGTTTAGCACCAGCACCAGCACCAGCACGCGCCGTCCCTCCAGCACGCATCACTCGAGCGCGGCGCGGGGCCCCCAGATGCGGCGGGAGCCGAGAGCGCAGCCTGGTCCCCCGGGCTTGGCCGCGTGCCGGGAGGAAAGGGGCATCGTGGCTCTGGAGCAGGGGCGAGGGGCACAGCCTCGGCGTCAGACCTGCCTGGACCTCGGTGCTGCAAGGGAGAGAGCAGCAGGGAAAGCCCGTCCCGCTCTCTGCCCCACGCGGCAGGGGACAGGACAGGACGGACCCGGGTCTGCCCCAGCACGCGGCAGGGCCGATGCCCAGAGCCCCTAGGCCGCGCGGGGCCGGCCCGGCGCCATCGCAGCTGGTTGCGGTCAGGTCCCGGCCGCGTCCCGGGGGAGCGGTGTAGATCCGCCCCGACGGCTCTACTACGCACGGCCTTGGGGGCACAGCCTACCCCCTGACTAGAGTTCACCTGTCCCCGCTCTGAAAGACGGTTTACACCCGGGGGGTGGGGACTCCTTCTCCTGGCTGCACCTTGTGCCTTGGCCCTGGGGCTGAGATGAAGACTTGTTACAAACGTGGCACACCCCTGGTTTTCCAGGGGCTGGAGGATTGCCCGCAGCCCCCAGCGCGTCCCTCGGATGCCCAGCGGTGGAGGAGATGCTGGGTCCTGCCACCGCCGGGCATCTCGGTGGCAGCCGTGGGCTCGGCCCGTGTTTCAGCAGCTGGAAAACGAGAAGATGCTCGGAAAGGTCTGCTGTCTCCCCTGCAATGCTACCTTCTTAAGTGAGGATAAAAAGCATCCATTAATGTTTAACTGCATTTCTGTTTATCAAAGAAGAGAAAGCTTTTGTCAGACATCAAAGCTGGAATTTAGGACAAAGCAAACTGCTTTGCTGCGGACTTCTGAGCAACCGGAGGAAGAAAAACAATTGTTTGAAATTTCCAACTAAACTGGTGAATCCAAAACCTGCAATTTGTGTTTAGCTGAACAGAAAAGGCTAAATAAATTACCTGTCTGCCATAAGTCTCTCTGAAGTCTGGAGCTCAATTCAGAGCTGAAATACGTGGGCACAGAGCATGAAAAATCTGCCACTGAGCGCGCCGCGCAAGCAGAGCCGCGCTCGGTCGGGGTAGGCAGCCATATGCTGCGGAGTCTCTCGGGCTGGAGAGGCGCCCAGTTACGCTCCAGCCCCGCACTTCAGCGCTGCAGGCAGAGCCAGCTCCAGAGAAGGAGCCAGACCCGAAAACCTGGGCTAAAGCAACATGACGGCAAGAAAACAGCCCGCATGTGGCCTGGCATCCGGATGGGCCGGTTATTTCAAAACCTCACCGCCCCAGATAATTGACAGCTGAGCGCGGCGTTTGCAAAGCATTGGACTGTGAGCTGCCGTCACTCCCGAGAAGTGGTAACCTTGAGCTGCGAGGCATTATTGGCAGTATTTAACACAAATCTGTTCTCCATCACTGTCAAATCCCACTTCAATATGCACCACAGGAAGAAAGTCGAATGCTAAATTGATTTCTTTAATGGGAAGTGTTCTTCAGGAGATACCAACCCTCCTGGAAATGCATTAGTGGGATTACAAGCGAATCTGTTGGCTTTTTTTTATGGACCCTTCTCTGTGCTGGCACAGTCGTGCCATGCTCCACCTCATATGCCCCGCGGCCCCGCGCACCCTCAGGAGCCCGTGCTGCTCCCAGCATGGCGCGGGGAGGCCTGGGCATTGGTGCCAGCTGCATCTGAGGGCAGGAAAGAGGGACCCGATGGGTGAACGGGCTGGGGGAGAACGGAGACCGCAGCACAGCAGCACTTGCCAAGCGCCCAAGGGCGTGCTGGTCAGGGCCAGGGTGACATCTGGCATCCAGCTGTGCCCCAGATGCATGTTCCTTCCCCCTCACAGGTATCTGCAAGGATGCACGGCTTTCCCTCGGCCACCCGCTTTGGAGGGGCTGTCTGCACGGCCTGGCCAGAGGCAGGTGGGAGAACAGGACAACTGGGCAGCTGGTGGGGTGCAGCTGGGGGCCGAGGGTCCCTCAGCAGGTTGTACCCCGAACGGGCCGGCGAGCTCTGCACGCTGCCCCTTGCACTGGTGGGGAGCCAGGGCAGAGCCCGGGGGCTGCGGGGAGATGAGAGGGTCTAAGCGAAGCCTGAGCCGCCACCGGGCAGGCCCAAAGGAAGGGTGAAGCCGACGGGAGAGGTGCTCGTGGCTAATGGGCAGGCACTGGGCACAGGAGCCGTTTTAGCTCTCGGACACGGAGGAGATCGGGAGGTGCGGCGTGTGGGGCCAGCGGGAACGGGCCTCGCAGGCCCCGGGATCCATTTTGTTCTCCCCGGAGCATAAACTGCAGGTTTACGGTGGTGCTATAAAGCCCCGAAGCACGGCTTCGGCCTGGGAGTGCTGACTCCAGCTTGACACCGCGAGCACAAGCGGTGTCACGGCACAGCGCATACATCAGGGCTGCGAGCAGCTTTACGGCGCCGCACGGCTCTCACTGCGCCGCGCCGGGGCGGTACCACGCTGCCGGCACGCAGCGGGCACGTTGGGCTGGGGACACCTTGGATCCTCGGCCTTCATCTGAGCAGGGGGTCGGCTTCCCGGGGGGCCGTGCCTCCCCCGGCAGCATGCCACGGGAGGAGGAGCAAGGTGGAGCGAGGCCTTCCCTGAGGGCCGGCCGCATTTATCTCTGCAGATACGTGCAGCCTCCCAGGCCGAGGTGGCTCCTGGCCAGAGGAACTGGGCATCTGCACACAAAAACCCAGACCTTTTCCCCTCGTGGCACCGTGAAAACGGTGGTGCCGACTTCCAGGGCTGTGCGCGCCCGGTGCTGCTGCCACGTGTCTCTAGCGCAGCAGGCAACGTGCGCCAGGGCCCTTCCTCGGCACGGCAGGGGATCTCGCGTGCATCCCTACAAATCTTTGCAGCGGAGCGTGCCGCGGTGACGGCCGGCTGCCCAGCTGCTTCCTGCCAGAGGCAATCCCTCGTGCTCGGTGCTGTATAAACCCGCAGAGAACAACTGTCCTAGCCTTGTGCTCGGTGCTGTACAAACCGCAGTGAACAAATGCTCTCGACAGCCTCCCTCCCGCTCAGTCCTGCACGAGCCCATGGTGAGCGGCTGCCCTGGACAGCCTCCCTTGCGCTTGGAGCTGTACAAACCCATAGTAAACAGTGGCCCTAGACAGCCCGCAAGCTGGACAGAAACACAAGGTGTGGGGAGGAGAGAAGGACGTATCGTCCCCATTTTACAGGTACCAGGGCAGAGAGGCTCAGCAAGGTCGCGCATGGAGTTTGAGCTGAGCCCGGCACGGGACGCCGGTCTGTGCTTTGCCCCGAGCCCACCAGTCCTTGGTCTTGCAGGCCCTGGGCTCTTGCGTCTCCATGGCCCTAAACCCAGGCCGGGGCGGTGCCGATGTGCTGAGGGGCTGTCGGGCCAGCACGGTCACCGGGCAGATCATCACCATCGATCTGCGTGGACCGGTCCGTTGGCAAAGCCCCCAAGTCCCAGGAGCAGGCGAGAGTCCGAGGAGCCGGCTCGGCCCCAGGTCTTCCCGGCGGAGAGGGAGCGTGGTCAATGGGCACGTGGCCCTGCGCCTCATGGGCCTGCTGGTCCTTCCCGCTCCCCGGGCCTGGGGCTGCCTGCGAGACCCTCTCGGGAGTCAGCCGTCACGCTTCCTCCTCCTGCCGCTTGGGCCGGCTCTGCTCCTCGACGGAGCTGGATCGAGCGCGCTGCTCTGGCTCGGTGACCGGCACCCGTGAGAAAAGGGTGTGAAGACCGAGCCTGGAGCGAAGGGTTTCAGGAGAGCGGCGAGGGGCGCAAGCTGGTGTCGAGGCGAAGGCTGAGCAACGTGCGATGCTGGGTGAGGTCCGGCCCGGGAGGCGTCTCTGCCAACGCAGACAGACAGCGCTGCTTCGGCGCGATCTGCAGCCTGCCT